GGCAGGCCAGCCTCCCTGGAGCAGGGCAGGCGGCCCTTCCCGTTGCCAGGCAGTCTCCCCAGCACCATGAGAGCCCCACAGGCACACTCACCAGAAATAGTGTTGCTGATCTTGACAAAGATTTTTTCAAAGTCGGCGAAGTCACTCCAGGACGACTGGAACATGTGCATGAAGCGGTTGACGAAGAGGTTCTCCATCCTGCACACAGGGCACAGCATCACCGTGAGGGCTGCGGCCTCCCTGCACAGCCCTCACACCCTGGCCTACGGAGCCTCTAGATCCCGCCTGCGCAGCGGGGACTCGTGGCCCAGGGCAGCTCCTGCGGAGAGCTCCTTGCAGAAGCAGGACCGAAACTGGCACCCATGCCCCCCGATGCTCTCCCTCCTGCACCTCCCGGGTGAGAACGTGGCTGCCTGCCTTGGAGGACAGTGTGCGGCGCCTCTAATCCTGTGCGTGCATGCTTCTGTCCACACATGCATGCTTCCGTCTGCGCTCATGCCTTCATTCATGCTCAGTGCAAGCTTCCAGGGGCAGAGGCCAAATTGCCTATGCAGCTGCTCTACCTAGTCTCCTGGATTTTGGAGGGATTAGCTGTTCAGTTGAGTTTAACCCTTGTTTACTTTCTACTGAACCCTGGCTCTGTGCCTGGTGCTAAGGAGGACAGTCTCGAAGTGCTCATTACACAGGATAGCAAAATAACCCAGGACGGGCGCTTGATAAATTACAAGTGCAGGCTGTAGGCAATACCGAGGGAGCTCTGAGCCATCCTAGGGGCTCCTGGAGGAGGCAGGTTTGGGATGGGCCTGGGAAAGGTGGAGGGGAAGGGCAGGGTTTCCCAGGCTGCCCCACAGAGCCACGCAAGGCACAGAGGTGTGGGGGGTCTGCCCGGTGCTCACGGTGACACACTCTGCCTCAGTTTCTCTCTCTGACACACGCATGGCTGAGAGTAACAAGCTGGCACCCGTCCCTCCCCTCTGGCAGTGCTTGCTGCCTATTCCTCCAGTGTTCAGCCTCCTCACGAGCTCGGTCTTTTGTGCGTCCTGACACAAGCAAGGGCCTTTGCACGTGTGGCTTGCCCTGCAACACCCTGCGTGGCTCTTTCCGCTCCTGAGCGTATGGGGCGAGTATACCCTGAAGGCTCCCCCAGCGTGCTCTCACTCCTCCTTCAATTTCACGGAAGCTGCCCCTTCTGCAGACCAGGTTGGCCCTGTGACACTCTGGGCAGCACTGAAGGAGGTTACATGCACACGCACCTGTGCGAGCACCTGCTGCCTTAGCTAAAAGGCGGGTCTGTATTGCTCAGCACCGAGCCCGGTGCCCTCCCTGAGCTGGCCCTTAGAAGTTTCCTGGGCACCCTTTTCTCAAGAACAAAAATAAAAGTAGGATAATGGGATTGCATTAACCTGAAAACTGCACCGCAGGGAAACAGCAGCGTGTAAGGCAGGCTACAGAATGGGAGGAAGTGTTTGCAAAGCATATATATATCTGATGAGGGGTTAACGTACAAGATACATAAGGAACTCCTACAACTCAACAAAAGGAAACTAATAGCTCAATTAAAAAATGGGCAAAGGACTCGAACAGACATTCTTCCAAAGAAGACCTACAAATGGCTCGCAGGTGTGTGAAGAAATGCTCAGTGATTGGGCCCATCAGGGAGTCAAAACCACCTCCCACCTGTCAGATGTCTTACACAAAACGAAGCTAAACGAAAGGCAACAGTGAGGATGTGGAGACTGGAAGCTCGCGCACTGTTGGTGGGAATACGGAAGGTGCAGCGCCAGGGAACATTGCCCAGTGCAGGTGGCGGCCTGGGCGAGGGGAGGCCTGGGCAGCCGGGCCTGGCAGGCCAGCCTCGCTGGAGCAGGGCGGGCGGCCCTTCCCGTTGCCAGGCAGTCTCCCCAGCACCATGAGAGCCCCACAGGCACACTCACCAGAAATAGTGTTGCTGATCTTGACGAAGATTTTTTCGAAGTCGGCGAAGTCACTCCAGGACGACTGGAACATGTGCATGAAGCGGTTGACGAAGAGGTTCTCCATCCTGCACACAGGGCACAGCATCACCGTGAGGGCTGCGGCCTCCCCGCACAGCCCTCACACCCTGGCCTACGGAGCCTCTAGATCCCGCCTGCGCAGCGGGGACTCGTGGCCCAGGGCAGCTCCTGCGGAGAGCTCCTTGCAGAAGCAGGACCGAAACTGGCACCCATGCCCCCCGATGCTCTCCCTCCTGCACCTCCCGGGTGAGAACGTGGCTGCCTGCCTTGGAGGACAGTGTGCGGCGCCTCTAATCCTGTGCGTGCATGCTTCTGTC